TTTTTTTTGCGCTGAGACTGCCCGGGGCCATGCCCGGGGGTCATGCCCGGCCGCTCACCCGGTCGCCAATCCGGGCGTGACATCGGGACCCGGGCGCCCGGGATATCTCCCTAGTTTTTAAAGTCTTTTTAAAAGCTTTTTTATAGTTTTTGACTTTTAACTCAATTTTGGTTAGGAATTCTGACATGACTCTGAGGCAAAACTGGTTTGCATTGTCATTCTGCATAACGTACTTTTTTTTCAGATTTTTTTTTTTTTTTTTTTTTTAAATGATCCGGACATTTCCGGACCTGTCCAGACATCCGGACCGTCCGGATCCCCCATGTCCGGAGGTCCGGAAATGTCCGGAATTCCGGACGTCCGGAAACTACCTGACAGGGGTCCGGTTCCATGTCCGGAAATGTCCGGGTCGGGGTCCGGCGTAGCCATGGTAAAAACCAGTGTGTTCTCCATAGGACCCTCGTGATGTCTGGCTTCAATATCTACCATGGCCCCTCTGTTGCCATGCAGCTGACTTTCTCCTTGGAGTCATCAGACCTAGAGCACTAATCGACTGAAAACGAAGTCTAGTGGCATGATTTCTCGAACTAAGGCTTGGCCTTTGGCCCTTTTTTTCAAAGTTGCTCATAGCTTGAGCTAAATGATCCCAGGGGGGCCAGGTTTTGTCAGGTTTCTTGTGACCTCCTTCTCCAGGGTCTCCCGCTTCGTGGTCTTGGATTATCGAAAGAACATACAACACGGAAAGTTGAATAGTACGACGCATTCAACGAGCAGGTCACGCCACTTTACTCAGTCTCTGCAGGTCTTTGGCTGGTATAGCAAACACCTTAGCCCGTGAGTGAAGCTTGAATTTGGCAGCAATACACCATAGCCAAAGAATGACGAACTATATATGATAATCGAGCTATGCATTGGCGCTTCAAGTCTGATACGTCGTGATAGTAATTGGCAAAGACCGTGGAGAGGTATGGAGATGCATGACCGTGGTGACACACACAGTTTCTCTCTGTCGATCTTGAAATTTCGGATTTCCCGATTTGTCACAAAAACAATGGGTCGTTTCCAACCAGGTTCAGAAATTAAACACGAGAGAGAGAGAGAGAGAGAGAGAGAGAGAGAGAGAGAGAGAGAGAGAGAGAGAGAGAGAGAGAGAGAGAGAGAGAGAGAGAGAGAATGAAGCGAAGGCAAGCCAGGAAAGCAAGTCATGCAGACACATTGCTTTCAGGTATGTATATAAGCAAAGCAAGGCCTATAGAATCCAGCGAAGTGAGACCTGCCCCCTGCCGTTCAATATAAAGAAGGAATAGGTGTTGGTTTGAGTGAAACATACCGCGCAGAGCTTCATTTGATCTTTGAGAGGCAGATAATCAAAACTTGAAAAACCTAGGTTTGCAAAAATAGCATAAATCTTTGCCTGCAACAGAAAATCAGACAGTTTTCAAAACACGTAATTATCATCTTCTCATTCAGCTCCCTTCGCCTCTTCCTCCTCCTCTCCTGTTTGTTTGCTAGCCAGCGAATCAAAATTGTCTTTATAAAAGTGGATATAAAAAAAATATCGCTTACTCTTTCTTAAGCCACGGAATTTGGTGGACCTCTGCCCTCCTTCCGGTGGGGGAACAAAAAAACACATGTCCTCAGACGTGTGGCATTTAGCCTTTCGCTACCTCAGGGGACTCCTAGTCACTATGAGCACCTAAAACAAACAAAAAAGGACCAAACAGAAAGGTGGAAAAAAACAACAACAGCAAGGGAGCGATCAGAGTGGAACTCAAGACATACAAGTGGGAGAAAATTGATTTTGTTTATGCAGGAGAGGAGAAAAGCATACAGGTAAAAAGAAAAAAGATCCAGCGGCCTAGCTCAGTTGGTAAGGCATGCAAGTGGCATTCAGGAGGCCTTGTGTTCAATCCCCATTGGCCTCATGTACCTTCCTGGGCAAGATTGGCGCCCCCTATCTGGAGATAGGCTGTTGGGGCCCCCAAGTGGCATTGAGCAGAGACTGCTGATTTTCGTAGGGAGAGGGGACCGGAGGGGAGGCACAGCGACTGGCCCATCGAAGAAGCTCAGTCCTGATGATACTGACTGACCCCTGACCAGTTTCGCCCACCTGCTGGTAGGTACAGCTCCCACATGCTCCCTCATTGGAGGTTTGAGTGCGGATGTGGCTGCTACGGGGTCCCCATAATAGTATGATAATACTATAATGACCAGGGTCGCATCCCTGCCGACCGCCGACCCCGATCGCTGACCGTATTGCAGCCGACCAGCTGGGCCGACCGGTCGGCGGTCTGCCGACCAGTAACAAAAAAAAAAAAAAAAAAAAAAAAAAAAAACATCCACTGGACCACTGATTTTTTTTCAAATCTGAGTTGGGGGCTGTACTGCGCTTGCTGAGTACAGCCAAATCCGCTGAGAAAGTATGGGGGGGTTGGGGTTGGAGTAGAGGGGGGGGTATAGAGGGGTATAGGGGTGATATAGGGGGTATTGGGGGGGGTAATGAGGGCGTTGGGCAGTTTGGGGGCGGTTGCGGGGGGGGAGGCTATGGTGGTATTGGGGGCCGCTATGGGGATGTTGGTGGTGTTATTAGGGGTTCTGGACCTCTTTTTTTTTTCTTTTTTTTCTTTTTTTGCGGGGTGCCGACGACCCCCGACCGGTCGGCGGGTCGGCAGCCGACCAGTCAAGGGCTGCTGATCGTCGGGGGGTGCAACCCTGATAATGACAATAAAAAGGGCCTGGAAGGCCGTTCTGTCCAGATTCGACAGGTAATTGAATTGATTGGGCTTAAAAAATTAGCCTTTAAAAGGGGGGGGGGGGGGGGGGGGGAGCTTTGAAAAAGGAGCATTCTGACCGGGGGAAAAAAAAAAAGAGCGCATACAGACCATGAGGTCATCTTCAAGAGATTCATGCACGGGAGAGGGAGCAACATTTTCACCGCCCTGGTTTTCAATGTCGGCTTCAAATGGTGACGACAAATCTGCATTGTCCATCCCTTCAAGATCTCCAAGATCAGGCACACTTATTTGAGTGATGATGCTTCCGTACTTCCTCCAATCTCGCTTCAGGTGGCCTCTCCGCAACCAGTCTTTGAGGTCAGCACTTCTTCCAGAGTCGTTCAGACTGCCTGATCTTTGACGGTCATCGTCATCATCTACTGCAGATTCATCTTCGTCGTCATAGCCGTCGGCATCTTCACTGCAGCTAAAGGTATCGTTCCTGGCGTGACTGCCTTGCCAGTCACCACAGTTATATCCAATGGCTGAAAGTGCAGGATGATCCTGCAGCTGCTTCTGCTCTTCTTCTACCTCTTCCTCTCCCTCTGCATCTCCGCCACTCAGCTTCATAGCCTGCTGAGCAAGACTAGGGTCTTCTTCTCCTATTGGCTTGGATGGTGAGCCTGTCGTTGACGTTGTCGATACCTTGCGTTTTCCGTCATCTGCAAGGCCTGCCGCTTCACCTCCTCCAACTACACTGGTGGTTTTCTGCCCCAGTAATGAACTGCTACTTTGTCTTCTTCCGGGAGGGGGAGCAGCTGTTACTGCAGCACCACTCTCTTCAACTATAGTAGTGGGGTTCTCCCTCGGCAATGAACTGCTGCTACTTTTTCGTCTTCCCTCACCTGCAGGAGGAGGCACTTGGTTCTTTGCTTCTTCCCCGGACACCGGCAATGAGCCGCTGCCACTTTGTCTTCTAGCAGGAGCAGCCATCACAGCAGCAGCTCCGCTTTCTCCAGCCATATTGCCCTTCTCCCCCAGCAATACGCTGCTGCTACTTCGTCTTCTTCCAACCATATTGTCCTTCTCCCCCAGCAACACACTGCTGCTACTTTGTCTTCGTCCCTCACCAGCAGGAGGCACTCGGTTCATCGCTTGCTCTGCCACAACCAGCAAAGGATGAATCTTGCTCTCCCCTTTCGCTCCCAAATCCTCCTGTCTTTGTGCTCCTCTCCCGCCTGGGCTCTGATTGACATCTCCATCAATAGCCTCCATCACCTCTGCACTCTTGTTGTCGTCATCGCTTCCATACTCACCGTCTCGCCATTGGTGATGGCGTGCTACACCGACGTCATCAGAGTCAGATTCATCGTCATCACCAGCTGTTTCAAGTCCCTGGTCCAGTTCCTGTTCGGGTTCAGTGTCTTCTCCTGAGGCGGACATATCTGATGAACCACTGCAGGAGTCTCTGCCTGCCTGCACAGCAACAGCAAGTAGTCAATTAGCTGACAAAGAAAATGCAGAACCGCTGCACTACATCATCCTCATCGAGATACACAATGTGTCAATGTCATACATCCTTAAAAATTGGTACAAAAGGGTTTCTGTGACGAACATGTACTGATCAGCTCCGTTACTGATTGTTAACGGAGGTTATCTTTCTTCTTTTTTTTGCAAAAAAAAAAGGGCCTTATGGTCCTGGCTCCATGTCCATTCTGGGGAGCATCAGTCTGGTTCCTATTCTTTATCGCTTTCTAGACTCTAGAATTAAAATACGAAAAAAAGCACGACCTTATGGTCCGGGCTCCTTTCCATTTTGGGGAGGGGACGTCAATCGGGCTTAAGGTTGAATAATGGAGGTTTAAGGTTATTGATTAATCATGAATGACATGAATGACATGAATGACATGAATGATGAATCAATAAATTATAATGAAAGAACTTGCCCCATGTGCTAATTGGTTCCCAAATCATTGCTGAAGTGTTTCAACTTCCTGTGATTCGTCTACTCCTGGTTTTATTTCATTTTTTGATATTTTTTTACATCCTGAATTTTTTTTTGGTGCTTCTTAAAGGGGAGTTCGTTCTTAACATTGTTCGACCTGATCTGATCCCAGCACTGCAGTATTCGAAGTTTGGAGTCATGGTTCGTTTGGCCACAAAGTTCGACTTCTTGGAATTTATCTACTCCCTGTGAAATTGGTGCCCTTTTTTTTACTTCCTGAAAGGGAGTGTAAGTAACCCCTAACATTAATTAATCCCACCTGATTGAATCAGGATTCAGAGTTTGTGAACAGCTTCACCTTCCTGGGATTTATCTACCCGCTCTGAAACCGTGTACCTGCCGCAACCTCTCTGGATGACCAACCAGGTACACCGGGTTGTGCAGCGAAACCAGTTCGATCGGCTCAGGTGGGGTGCAGGATTCCCCAACGGGCTTCACGGTTTCACCCCACTCAGTGAACTTGGACCACTACTGGTTAAGTGTCTGTTTTCTGAGCGTAAGGTTGTAAGTCTCATGCATGTTGTTTTTTTTTGTGTGTGTGTGTGCGTGACACTGTGTGTGAAGCTACAGTGTTGCTTACCGTGTGACAATAAAGGATCATGTGTCGGAGTGAACTGCAAAGAAACATTATGAGTTAGCGACCTGATTGGTGGGTGACAGGCAGCAGAAGTCTGGTGGTGGCTGACTGATCGTACAGTGCTATTTGCGATCAACTATCACCGTATCACGCATATATTGCACAATGTATTCAGCTCGATGAGCCTCGATCATAAACAACTCCTGCACTCATGTTGATCGTCTCATAAAGTTAGCACAACTTTTCCCTTTTCTTTTGTTTTCTAAACCTTTTGTCTAATGTGGCCCGATGTACCATGGCTCAGATATCAAACTGATCAGAACAGAGAAACAGAATTACACTGGATCAGATGTTGTGAAAGGATTCATGTCCCTCGGCGCAGCCTGCCTCCAGTACCACAGTACCACATCCGATTTTCTTTTGCATCATAGGGCGGCTTTAGAACTTTCTGGTAGGTACTGTAGCAGGCAAAATAAAATAGATATTCGGTAGGATAAGGCCTAGGAACAATAGAAGTCACTAGCAGTCAGTCAGTAGGGGGAATTGCCACGTGTCCAGTCCCAGGGTAAAGTTGCAGTTCAGTCCCAGAGAAGGCCCGCAACAGTCCACATCTTTGTCGGCCGCGGCAGGACCTGACGGGCATGGCCACGAGCCCTGTGGGACGCATTCCCCCACAGGACAAAGGCAGCGTGGCAGTCAGGATCTGCCTCTTTCTGTGATTATGCACATGCAGAAGTGTTGCAGTGTTATTCAGCGCCAAGATCCTGGCCGGATGAAAAGTTCATGTCGAGCAAGTAGTCGACAGTGCAGTGCGCCATAGCTGCCAAGTAGGATAGCTGGGAGAGAGGAGAGGACGAGGACATTCAGAGAGAGATAGTGGGACCTGTGTGTGTGAAGAGCTCAAGAAGAGAGAGAGAGAGAGAGAGAGAGAGAGAGAGAGAGAGAGAGAGAGAGAGAGAGAGAGAGAGAGAGAGAGAGAGAGAGAGAGAGAGAGAGAGAGAGAGAGAGAGAGAGAGAGAGTTATGTAATTACCTCGAAAATCAGAGACTGACTCTGCTGATTTCTGAGTTTTGCCGCTGGAATGTGTACCGTGCTGAGATTCCCGCTTTCTTCTGAGATTTCTAAGTCTGTGTGTGTGCGTGCTTGCTGGTTCCTGTGTGCCTGTCTGAGTGCATGACTGTTTGAGTGTGCGTCTTTGAGAGGCCTTCAGGGCCGGGGCTTGCCTGTGGCCGTGACTTTGAGGGTTGCAGTGGGGAAAACACTCGAATAGCGTAGGCTAGCGCTCAAGTAGGCCCATGTAGCTTAGGGTAGCACTTGAGTAGCGGTGGGCCGACAGAAGAAGACAAAAAGTTACCTTTAGAGACCGTGTGAATTTAGAAACAGGTAGGCCTAGGTCTAGGCGGGTGCCAGTCCAAGTAGTCTGAGTCTAGGGCCTGTAGCGGACGATATCAGACCTGCAATGATGTTTTCCTCTGAAAGGAGGTTGGTACTGGTTGCTTCGGAGGCCGCGTGGCCTGGAAGTCACCGCCCGAGAGGCAAGTTGCCCGGGATATCTCCAGCCTCCAGGCAGAGCGCTTGGCTCTGCCTCATTTGCGGTGTGCAAGTTTGTGGAATGATCACAAACAGATCATGAGTCGGAATCCTCACACATACAATAATAACGTTCTGGGCTACATCCATTTCCTCCTTGTGGTACAAAGAATTCAAAAGAGACAAGTTCCAAGGAAGAAAGCTTGAAGAACACCTTTCTCTCCCAACTCAATGGACTGGCTGGAAATGGGAGCGAGTGGGAGAAAAAAAAAGAAAAACATCCGATGGGGGGAGGGCTGCAGGAGAGGAGAACGCTCGACTCCAATGCTAGTGATCAAGAACATTAAATTTTATCGAAAGATTGCTGAAACAATTATTGAGATCATTTCAGGCAAGGATTGCTGGCAGTGTGCGGAGGAGGGGAGGACTGGAAGGGGGGGGAAGGGAGGCGCCAGCAGGGGTGGAGGAGAGAGGAAAGGGGGGGGAGGAGGATGTAGGAGGAGGTGGGGGGGGAGAAGGGAGGGAGGGAGGATGGAAGAAGAGGAACGGATGATGCCTCTGAATAGAGTGAGCTTACATTCAACAGCATAAACCAGTGCCACGCTGGCAAACGGATGATTCCGAAGTCGTCACATACTGAAAGATAAAAGAGACCACAGAACAGATTACACTAATGTCAACCATCCAATTTGGAAATTTCCACGTCAAGGATCCAGTATAAAAAATGGAAATTGCCACGATGAGCATCCAGTACGGAAGTCACATGTATTGACATTTATAGTCTCATTCCAAGCAAAGTGGCATCAGCATGACTCTAGCACTAATGCCATTAACTGACATTACACCAATAAATCCCGAATCCATAAATCGGGAGAAGTAAGCTAAACATACTAAACAACTCATACAACCCTGCATGAAGGGTAGTCCTGCACCAAAATAATCTAGATAGAAATAAATATAAAAATAAAATAAATATATAATAGAAAATTCCTGCAACACCTTCTCAACGCCGCTTTCCTAACATCGGGACTGCATACAATCCACTCTCATCGTCCCATAGGCTCAATGGGATGAGAAGATGCAAGGAAATTTGCATGTATTACGTTCGATTTTGCACTATTTTATAAGCCCTTTTCATAATAAATCTATCTGGGTTATTTGTCTGGAAGCAAGAGCTGCCCACACCCACCTGGAGGGCCGCGCGGCCGCCCAGCCAGCAGGTCACCCGGTTGGGGTTCCGGGCGTCCTCAGTGCCAAGTCCAAACCAGGCCTTTTCAGACCCGGTACGCAGCTGGGAGGCCTGAGGGCAGCCCGGTGCGATCCCAGACGCCTTCAAGAAAGATTTCAGGGGCAAGTAGCCCCCCTTTTGTTTTTGAAAAGGGGCCCATTATAGATGAGGCGTTTGATGTCCTTCGGGACATCCGTTAAAATTGGAACGATACAGAGAAGATTAGCATGGCCCCTGCACAAGGATGACACGCATAAATCGAGAAATGGTCCAAAAAAAAAAAAAAAAAAGGATAAGGCGTTTGACTGTGTTTCAATTTTTGTGAGAAGAATTGTTCACAGAGGAAGAGGTCTTCTCAGCAACTGTTGGGCATGTACCATCCTCTGCAGGAATGCAGCTCATAGAGCTGTTCATAGTACTTCATACAACTCTTTACTGTTTCCCAGTTGCTGCATTTTTTTAAAGTGCAGTCAACTGTTTCTTCGTCATAGCCATGTTAGTCCCACTGTTGCGGACAGCAAGTTGGTCAAAGAGTCATGGACCAGAGAAGGATTCAATAAGACCCTCGAGGTGAGTACTCTGTTCCTCCTCCTTTTTTGGACGAGCACTCCTCCCAGTCCTCACCCTCTCAAGACATACACTCTCTTTCCCTCTCCTCTCTTAAATCATAAATGGATTGGAAGTTTTTTAAGTTTTAAGTTTTAACCAATTGGAAGCACGTTTTTCATGTACAAGTGCATTTTCAACACTTTGAAAACTTATCACTTAAAGCTTTAGAACCACCTTTCAGATACAGCACAACATATTCACAAGATGCCGCGTTATAAAAAAATGAAAAAATGCTTACCCTTCTGAGTTCGTGTTGGAACTGCCATCTGATTACTCAAATGAAGAAGCAAATAGTACAGCACAAGAGAAAGAGAAATAGACCTTCTAGAGCAGTCCCAGTGGCCATCGGGGGTCGTAACTGGAGCAATGCTGGCCGGTGCTGGAGCAAGGTGGTGCAACTCTGTAACCTAACCTGATGGGAGCATGAGGCCTGGAAGAGCTTCGGTTCGTGCTGA